GACTTTTATATATATATATATATATATATATACAACACATGAATTTTCATATATATTTATATAACACAGAAGCTTTAAAATCATATTAAAGGCACCTCTATCACTGAGTTTCATAAATGAAATGCAGTTATTCATATATAAGTCAACGAATAATGTGTTAGATATGTAAATGTTAAAAAATTGTATGGTGTGAATGCAAATTTCACTAAAACTATAATGTTTTGAGATCATATGCCAGTCAAAATGCCCTTGATGAATATATATATATATATATATATATATGCCACCTTATCTATGTGTTTCTCATGTTTTTCATGCCAAAAGGCTAAATCCCAACCGCTCCCTGATTTGTGTTGACTTGTAACTCATGACGTTTCTTCTAGAATTTTTTTTTTTGGAACTATATGCCACATGGAATCAATAAGTTAATGTCGATTATAGGGACACTAAATGGTACTTGGAATTTGTATGTTATTTTGATTAGGAACATTTGTACAACCAATTTTATGTATTTATATATCTAAAAGGTAAATTTTGTTTCGTGCATTTATACCATTCAATATTTTCATACACATAAAAAAAATATGACAATTTTACTTTCAAAAAGATAAAATACACATTTTTCCGTGTTGGTAAATTTGCAGCGGTAGCATGATATATTAACATCCTAGTGTTATATGAAAATCTGACACACATTGGATAAAATGAAACTTGATAAAGGGCGCTCCGGAGGTTTTTAAATAGAAAATCCGAAAGAATAAAAATCACATGGCCTAGCCCAGCTGGAAGTATTCCACTATCATTCTACAGTCAAACTACTCAGTTGGGTCAGGTCCTAGGATTTTTCCTTTTTCGGGTTTTTTACATTAAAACTTATAGTGTCATTATTAGTTGTTTTCTCTTTTTTAAGTGTGTTTTGAATCGTTATATCATACTAAGATGATAATTTGCTACTTTATTGCGACTTGTTTTCTAACACACATCAATTATTTTCTTATTATATTATTTATATTGTACTTTCTAAGATTTTATATTTATTTACAAGTTAGTAGTAATGCCAAACTTTTCATCAGGGATAAAATGTATGTATTGCAACAGATGTTCATTTGAAATAGAGAAAAAATTATTGACCGTGAATTTATCCAATCATTAGATGTCATAAATTTACCCAAAAAAATCAAATGTGTTGGTTTACATGATTTGTTTCACATTTTGCATTGTTTATAATTAACTAGAAATTTAAAATTAGCATTAAGCCATTTTTAGGTTAGCATCAATTCTCAAAGGTCGTACATTAGTGAAAGGTTGGAGGACTTAGTGATATACATATTAAAAAAATGTCAAATTTGTCTCATGATTCTTTATGTAGAGTCATTTTAATTTTAGAGTTTTTAAAATGATAATTTAATCCACTAATTCATTTAATATCGGGTGAATAGCCCACAAAGAGGACTATTTCAACCCTGATTTAAGGAATATCACTTTGATACACTATCAACAAATTTTCATCATCTCATATATATCTTGAGGCATGACACGAATCTCGAGATAATTTTTAAGCAAAAAATATTTAAACTTTAATTAAAAATCATTTAAAACTCTGATTTTAGCAAATATATAG